AAGAAGGGTGAGGGTGGCTGAGGCCAGCGCCAGGTCTAGAACTACAGCTAGTACCGGTACGACCATGGCTACGTCCTCTACCATGTCGCAGGCTTCTTCACAGGCCACTTCGTCAGGAGTCAGTCAGAGTGGTTCTCAGGCATCCATTAGCCAGAGTGCTGGCTAGTCAACCAGCAGACTCAACTCACGCTGGAGAATTATGAAATCCTCCAAGCAGAAGAACTTCAGGATGAACTACAACGGCAATTGGATGAGGCAGCAGAGAGAAGAAGAAGAGCTATAATGAGGAAAGCTAGACTAGGTAGAAGATTGCAGGAACTAGGCAAGCCAGAAGCACTAGATGAGTCCGCACTTGATCCTACTATGCGAGCACTGCGAAATTCGTTCCTGTGTGTGGCGGAGACGCATGTAGTTCAGCAGGTGTTGGCTGAACTAGTGGTAGGCCAGAAACGAATTTTGGCTGCACTACAGGCTCCTCGTCCAGTGATGAGTTTGTTGTAGCTCCCCCTTCAAGTGCGGGTCCTTCAATGACGTCGTCGCCGGTTGGGCCCTCATTCTCACCTATGTTTGGCATGCCCCCTCCAAGTAGTTATGTGGCGACTAGTGGTCCGGTCCTTAGAGTCTCTGTCGTACCATCGACGACAGTGGTTACTACAGTCCCACTATCAAACCAGACCCAGGTTAGTGTGCAGCAACCTGTTTCGGTGGCTATGCAGCCACTGCAGCAATCTCCTGGGCTAATGCAGCCTATGCAATGGATGCCCAAAATACCCTTGTTGAGTCCTAAACCCTTCTCTGGCGACAGGAAGAAGGATGAGGACTTGGATACCTGGGTGAGGACGGTGCCTACGTATGTGAGGCACAAGCTTACCACGCTGGAGCAAGAAGTTGTAGTGGCTGCCTCCTTTCTAGAGGGGTCAGCAGCCCGCTGGTTGAATGTCCTAGTGCAGCAACAGAGCTACGGTCATAACTTCGATGCTTAGGCCCCGGCCCAGACATTGGAGGAATTTGTACGGTCCGTGTATAACAGGTGGCATGACCCTCAAGGGGCTCAAAAGGCCACAAATGCAATCAACAGTCTTTGTGCCAGAAGGTACAAGAATGTTCATGAGCTCACGGACACCGTAGAACGTCTGCTCGTAGTACCTGATGTGTGCTATGACCAGCAGGTACTCCTCACGGATTACCTTAGATGTCTGCCTTCAGAGGTTAGGACAAAGCTGGTAGATGAGGCCTATGTCGAACAACACAACTTCGCTTCTTTCAGCAAGAAGGCCTTAGACATAGAGGCAAAGTTGGGTTTCGCGCATCAGAGTTAGGGAGATGGTAGGAAGAAGAGACTCCCCCTGTTACGGACTCTGCCAAGGCTCGATCCCTGGTCTATCTTTTTGCTGTTTCGGCTGCATCCCATTTTCGGCCTGGCACCCTTTTTCTAAACCCCTCCTTTGGTACCGTAGGATTTTGGACAACTGGCGCCATGCTGCAATTCGGGCGCCACTTTCAAATACCTCATTTTTCAGTTCTGCCCTCGAGGCCTTTGCAGAAATGCCCCTGGTACCGTACGTGTCACCGGTACTTATACCGGCTCCCCGTACGGTACGGGGACCAGTCTCGTACCAGTTTTCTGCTGCTGTACTCGTACTGTGTGACTTGCTGTTTCGGCATTCGGAATCCAAGACTTCGACTTTGTGCCTTGCCACTGTGTCTGCGTCCGACCCTCAGTCRTGTCGAGTGAGTGAGTGTGTGTGTGTGCTCTCAGTCTCTCCCTCTCTCTCTCCTCTCTCTCGGCTCTCCCTCAGCCTTACGCCCGTCACACCCCCAGGACTGGAAGAAGAAAGGGCAATTAATGTTCGTCGACCACGATGGTCAGGCGACAAAAATTGACGACTTCCCAAACCTTGGGGAGGAGACAGAGCACGATGGGGCCAGCGAGACTTCGGATGGGGGAGTCGTGGCACCCATCAAGGAAAAGGCTAGGGGGACCGGGAAGAAGAAGGTAGGCCGGTCTACGGGTCAAAGTTAGAGACTCGGTTGGGTGAAACTCGGTTTAGAGTATGCGGTGTGGAGGGACCGAGTTGCTAGGGGTACGTGTATGAACTGTGGCAACTATGGCCACATGTCCAGAACGTGCCGAGGTAAGAAAGTCCTAACGAGGGTAGACTCTCCAACGGCGGTGGGACTATCTTCGAACCCTGGCGGTGCTTCTACGAGCACTTCGCAGGGAAACACCTCGGGTCAGTAGGAGTTTTAGCTGCTCTTACTCGCGGTGAAGTGGTAACGTTGCCTTCCCCACCTCAGGCGTTGGTCAGGGCTAGTGACCCACGTATCACCCCGCAGACACATTCAGAGCCACCAATGCTCTGTTCGAGAGATGTGCCTGAGGCCCTAGAAGAGTTGAGTGGTCAGGGAAGGACCCCAGAGACTCTTGGGCGATGATCAGTAGAGGTCCAAAGGGTGAACATTTCGTGGTAGAGGTTGATGTAGGTGGCCGCAAAGTTGGCGTCTTCGCAGACATAGGCTCTACACGAAACTTCATCAGTCGTGCTTGTGTGGATAAAATGCGCTTAGGGGAACAAGTGCAGCGACTTAGCAGAATTGTAGCTTCTACGCTAGCCAACAAGCACCAGATGGTTGTTAAAGACTATGTCAAGGACGTAGTCTGTTGCTTCTCTTACGGAGGAGGTATCTCCTACCTCTCCCTACTACTCCTCCATAGCCATGGAGGTCTTCCTTCTCCGTTACCCTCCAGCTCCGCCTTTTTCAACCTCCAGCTTCACCACCCTCTCCCTCTGGACGGCGCAACAGCATACTACCTCGAGGTTGCTCAACCTCAGTTTGATTGGGATAGAAAGGTGTTGTTACACAAGCTGCCAAATGGTAGGACCGTTAGACTGCAGAAGTTCAAAGCTAGCAGTCAAGTGGAAAACTATGGCTGCATGTGTGCCTCCTCTTTCTATAACTATTATAACCAGAATCGTGAGGAGAGCATGTATCTAGTCTTTGTCTCTGAAAAAGGGGAGGCCATTAAAACACCCCCAGAGATAGAATCAGTCGTCGCGCAATATTCCGACCTTTTTTAGGAGCCCACAGGCGTGGTAGAAAGGGAGGTGGTCCATGTGATAGAGGTTGTCCCAGGTAGCAAGGTGCCTAGAGGACGAATCTATAGGATGTCTCCTGCGGAGTTGGATGAGCTCCGCCGCCAGCTCAAGGAGATCACAGAAAATGGATGGATTCGGCCTAGTACCTCTCCTTACGGTGCGCAAGTCTTATTTGTTCCTAAGAAGGAAGGTACACTGAGGATATGTAATGACTATAGGGGCCTCAATGCCATCACTGTTAAAAACGCAGAGCCCCTACCCCGCATCGACGACCTACTGGATAGAGTGTAGGGATGCCAATACTTTACTAAGATAGATTTAAAGTTTGGATACCATCAAATTGCCATTAGACCAAAGGATCAACACAAAACCGTTTTTCAGACCACGCACGGTCTGTACGAGTTTGTGGTGATGCCCTTTGGCCTATGCAATGCCCCTGGGACATTCCAGCACGCCATGAATAGGATATTTCACGAGTACCTAGACAAGTTTATCGTCGTGTACCTCGACGATATTCTTATCTTTAGTAGCACTGTAGAGGAGCACGCTGAGCACTTGAAAATAGTGTTAGGTCTCCTAAGACAAGACCAGTACAAGATTAACTTGGAGGAATGCGAGTTCGGTCGCACCAAGGTCTTGTACTTGGGTCATGAAATCTCTGCGGATGGGGCCGGACGATGCTAAGGTGGCCAGCATACGTGACTGGCCCAGGCCTCAGACGATTACTGAGGTCAGATCGTTTTTGGGGATGACGGGCTACTATCGTCCGTTCGTTAAGAATTACAGTACTATAGCTTCCCCATTAACAGATCTAACTCGACTTGACACCCCTTGGGAGTGGACTGAAGAGTGTGAGGCGGCCTTCAGGAATCTGAAGTATGCCCTGGCACTATGAGGTTCTTAAACTTCTAGATCCTGATAAGCCATTTGTAGTGACCAGAGATGCCAACCAATACGGCATAGGCGCGGTCCTTGCACAAAAGGAGGGGCCCAAGTTGAGACCTATCGAGTACATGAGTAAGAAGATGCCACCTCAGAAACTAGCCAGGTCTACCTACGAGCGTGAGCTCTATGCCCTTTACCGAGCGCTGGTCCATTGGAGGCGCTATCTCCTTGGCAGATTTTTCTATGTAAGATCTGACCATGAGACCTTGCGCTGGATCAAGACGCAACCGGTACTCTCAGATGCACTCAAGAGATGGATACAAGTGATAGACATGTATGACTATCAACTTGATCCTATCAAAGGAGAGTACAACAAGGTGGCGGATGCACTATCTCGATGGGCAGATTACCTGGGCGCGCTAGTAACTGAATTCGGTATATCTAGCGATTTAACTCGATTGCTGGTGGAAGCCTATCAGCAAGACTCAGTTATGTCTGAGATCATCCGTAAGTTCAAAGAGAATGATAAAGTAACTTCTGACGAATTTACGATGGTAGATGGCTTGCTATTTCTTGAAAAGGTAGGGAATAAAGGACTGTGTGTTCCCAGTAGTGAGTCTTTGCGTAGTTTATTTTTAGGGGAATGTCACGATGCAACTAGCTATTTCGGTTATAGAAAAACTTCAGCTAACTTAGTGCAGAAATTATGGTGGCCTTCTATGATGGAAGATGCCAAGAAGTATGTTGAAACCTGTCAGGTCTGTCAATGTGACAAACCTAGAACTCACACTCCGCTTGGGCTCATCAAGCCCTTGCCGACTCCTGAAGGTCCTGGTCAGAGTGTCTCCATGGACTTCATAAATACTCTTGTGACCAGAAGGTCTGTGAAAAGACACATCTTCATTATAGTAGACCGCTTTTCTAAGTATGCAAGATTGATCGCCATGCCTGAGACTGTTAAAACCGACTATGTCATCAGATTGTTCATGGACAACTGGGTACGAGACTTTGGTTTACCTAAGTCTATCGTCAGCGATAGGGATGTTCGCTTTACGAGCGAACTGTGGCATAACACTGTCCAACAGATGGGAACCAAACTGCAAATGACATCAGGGAATCACCCTCAGTCAAATGGACAGGCGGAACAGATGAACAAAGTAGTGCAACATTTACTAAGGCACTACATTAAGCCAAGCCAGGATGGATGGGACGAGAAACTACCTCTCGTCGCCAACCTGTACAACAACGCAGTACATAGCGCTACTGGCATGACTCCCAACCAACTGCATCTTGGTTGGAAGCCCCGTTCCGCCCTCGATTTCCTAATACCTGAAAAACAGGCTACTGCAGCACCCGGTAGCATAGAATTTGCTATCACATACGAACAGATGTTGCAGCAGGCTGTTGAGCACATGAGGAACTCTCAGGATGCTATGATTGCATCTGAGAATAAACACAGACGGCCTTCTAACTTTCAAGTAGGGGAAAGGGTCTGGGTAAAGTCATCTGAACTGGGACAGGAAATGGGAATATCTAGGAAACTAATGCCACAGTATTTCGGTCCCTTGGAGGTCCTGGACATAGTGGGGGAACAGGTGGATGGACCTTTCTTATGTGATTCGCGTCCCACCTCATCTTCGGACAGACCCTGTTTTTCACGCATCCAATCTGGCACCTTTCGCAGAAACTGTACAGTTTCCCTCCAGACGGTCAATGCTGCCCCCAACCATGGATGGCGAAGTGGACATCAACCAGATCGTGGAGCATTGTCTGATGCCTGTTCCTCGATCACCGGGCAGAGGCCGCCCTCCTAAGCCAAAAATGCAATACCGGGTCAGATTCATACATGATCTGGATCCCAGCGAAGATCGGTGGTTCACCAGAGAAGAACTCATGAGAACTGCACCTCAAGTCATTACATGCTACGAAAGAGACTTCAAAGGGAAGATGCCTGCAAAGTAGAAGACTTCTCAGAGGACTATCGAAGTACAGGAGGAGGGAATGCGAGGATCTGGGTCCTTGGCAGGCCTAAGGGCCCTCTGTTGCACCTGTGCCCGCCCTAAGTGAAGGCGGGCCTAACAAATCACGAGAGGCCCTCGACTGTCAATTTCGTATTTGGGATCCAGGCAGTTTCGTTGCGCCAATTGGTTGAGGAAAACATAGGCCGAGCAGCGAGACTTTCGACGGCCTTCCAAGCCTTTCCAAAATGATGCAGGCCCTGGACGAGAAGGGCAGCCTCATACACAGACGATTGGGAGGCCCAACTGAATGAGGCCGAGTAGCTGCAAGAGAGGCGCAACATCCTGGTGCCTACCAGAAGGGTGCAGCTGAGGGCAGCGCCATAGCCCAACCACCATTGCTGGCGGGCTTGGACTACAGTGAGGCGCAAGGGTGGTCTTCGGGTGTACAGAGGGAAAACGTGGTGTAAGACGAGGGAGAGAGAGAGAGAAGGATGATGATGATGATGATGTGAGGGCACATACCTGGTATTGGCGATGGTCTGCAAGGGCGACATCTTCAAGTACTTCGGAGGCTGCTGACGTCAACAGTTGCATTGTCAATTAGCAGGCTCGTAGTAGCTGTGTAGGGAGTAGGCTGGGCGCCAAGCGCCAAGTAGGGAGATAGGGACTGGATACAGATGTTGGTGGTGGCGAGAACAAGTTCTCATTGACATTGGTTTTCAGTGCTACGATTCTCCATTGGTGTCATATTGGTGCAATGCTGCTTTCTGAACACTGTGATACGATTTGGCTTTCAATGTGATTGTGCAATCTGAATATTGTCATCTCGCTATTGCTCATTTACAAGGAAACACGAAAAATTCGAAAAAGGGATTAAGTAATTCGAAGATATTCCCGAATTTCAAGAATTTTCAAAAAAGAATTGATCATAAGGCCTTTTCGAATTTCAAGAAAAATTCCGAAAATGAATTATGAATTCTAAAATATACAAGAAAAGAAATTAATTAAAACTGTTTGCGAATTTTGAAAAAGGAATGTTGAGAAAGAATTAATTAATTCGAACGTATTTCCGAAAGAAAAAAAAAATGAAAAATAGTTAATTAATACTATTTTCGAATTTCAAAGAAATGCAAGGAAAATAAGCAAGAGCGAGATGACAATTCCAGTTCACACCATCACATTGAAAGCCAGATAGTCACACTGTGTCCAGAGAGCAGCATTGCACCAATAATACACCAATGGAAGTTCGTAGCACTGAAAACCAATGTTCATGGAGAGCAAGCTCTCTCCCCTCAACACAAGAGTCCAGTTCCCTCACACTCACACTTGGCGCTCAGCGCCCAGCCTGCTCCTACACAGCTACTAARGACTACAAAAAGACAATGCAACTGTTGACATCAGCGGCAGCCCGAAGTACTTGAAGATGTCGCCCATGCAGACCATCGCCAATACAAGGTAAGTGCCCTCACATTATCATCCTTCACCTATCCCCTGACTACACCCACGTTTGTCCTTTGTTTCCCCCGAAGACCACCCATGCGCTTCACTGTAGTCCAACCCCACCAGCTATGGTGGCTGGGCTATGGCGCTGCCCTCAGCAGTGCCCTCCTCCTCTGCACGACCGCACATGCTGCACCTCGCCTATCAGCGCCAGCCAGCAGCCGCGAACCTTTGCTCCAGCAGCGCTGCCGCTAGCATGCGAGTGCCTGAATGAGGCTGCCTTGCAAGAACTCTTTCCTTTATGGAAAAGACCTGGCCAGCTCTCGCAACCTGGCTGGGCTGGCCCGGGCCCAGAAGCTTCCGGAAGGCCCCAGGAGGCTGCTTGGATGCAGCAGCTACTGGGCTGCTGGGCCTCGTTCGGTTGGGCGCCCAACTGTCTCTGTATGAGGCTGCGAATCACGCCCAGGGCCTGCCTTCTTTGGAAAGGTCCGGTAGGCCGTGGAAATGTCTTCGGTGCTCGGCCTGTGTTTCTTTCAACCAACTGGCGCGTCGCAACTGCCTGGACCCCAAATATGAAATTGACAGTCGAGGGCCTCTTGCAAAAAGCCAGGCCCGCCTTCACTTAGGGCGGGCACCTCCGCCTTCACTTAGGGCGGGTAAGGCTGCAGATAGGGCCCCATAGGCCTACCGAGGACCCTGATCCTCGCATTCCCTCCTCCTTAACTTCGTGAGTCCTCTGAGAAGTCTCTTATTTTGCAGGCATCTTCCCTTTCCGTTCTCTTTCATAGCCTGCAATCACTTGAGGCATTGTTCTCATGAGTTCTTCTCGTGTGAACCAGCGATCTTCCTTGGGATTGAGGTGATGTCTGAAGCTCACCCGATACTGCATTCTCGGTTTAGGAGGTCGCCCTCTGCCTGATGGTCGAGGAACAGGCATCACTCGATGCTCGACGATCTGGTCAATATCCACTTCGCCATCCATGGTTGGGGGCAGCATTGATCTTCGAGAGGGGAACTGGTCTGTGGCAGCAAAAGGTGCCAGCTTGGATGCATGGAAAACAGGATAAGTCCGCAAGTGTGCAGGGATGCGAATCACGTATGAAGGCCCATCCGGTTGATTCCCTACAATATCTAAGATCTCCTAGGGCCCAAAGTATTGTGGCATCAGCTTTCTTGAAATCCCTATCTCCTGACTCAGTTCAGATGACCTCACCCAGACTCTCTCACCTACCTGAAAGTGTGAAGGCCGTCTATGTTTGTTCTCAGATGCAATCATAGCATCTTGAGACTTCTTAATGTGTTCCACTGCCTTCTCTAGCATCTATTCATACTTGATAGCATACTCAATGCTGCCTGGGGCTGCAGTGGGTTGCCTTTCTGGTAGCAGAAAGTCAAGCGCAGTTCTGGGTTTCCAACCAAGATGTAACTGGTTGGGAGTCATACCCGTAGTACTATGCACAACATTATTGTATAGGCTGGAGACGAGAGGTAACTACTCGTCCCAGTCATCCTGACTTGGCTTAATATAATGCCGAAGTAGGTGCTGTACTACCCGGTTCATCTGTTCTGCCTTACCATTTGACTCAGGGTGATTCCCTGAAGTCATTTGGAGCTTAGTTCCCATTTGTTCATCAGTTGCCTGCCACAGTTCATTGGTAAACCTTACATCCCTATCACTCACTATTGATGTGGGCAGTCCAAAATCCCTTACCCAGTGATCCAGAAACATTTTGATGACATAGTCAGTTTTCGCAATTTCTGGCATAGCGATTAGTCTTGCATATTTAGTAAAGCGGTCCATTATCACGAAGATATGCCTCTTTCTAGACTTACTGGTCACAAGAGTATCCATGAAGTCCATGGACACACTTTGACCAGGACCTTCAGGAATCGGCAAGGGCTTGATGAGCCCAAGCGGAGCCTGAGTCCTAGGTTTGTCCCTTTGACAGACCTGGCAAGTTTCAACATACCTTTTCGTATCTTGCATCATAGTGGGCCACCAAAATCTCTGCACTAGGTTAGCTGAGCTCTTTTTATATCCAAAATGACCAGTTGCGTCATGACACTCGCCTAAAAATAAACTACGTAAAGACTCACTAGACGGGACACACAGTCTTTTATTCCCTGCCTTCTCAAGGAACAGCAAGCCATCCACCATCGTAAATTCATCCAAAGTCTTCTTGTCCTTAGCTTGGAATCTACGGATGATTTCTGACATGACTGGGTCTCCTTGATAGGCTTCCACCAGCGATCGAGTGAGTTCGTCAGATATGCCAAACTCAGTGACTAGCGTGCCCAGATAATCTGCCCTTCTTGATAGCGCATCAACCACCTTGTTGTACGTACCCTTGATAGGATCAAGTTGATAGTCATACATGTCTATCACTTGAATCCATCTCTTGAGTGCGTCTGACAACACAGGCTGTGTCTTAATCCGCACAAAGTCTCATGGTCAGACCTCACATAGAAGAATCTTCCTAGGAGGTAGTGTCTCCAATGGACTAACGCTCTGTATAGGGCGTAGAGCTCTCTCTCATACGTGGACTTAGCTAATTTTTGAGATAGCATCGTTTTGCTCATAACTCAACTTGGGCCCTTCCTATTGCGCAAGGACCGCGCCTATGCCATATTGGCTGGCGTCTGTAGTCACAACAAACGCCTTGTCAGGATCAGGAAGTTTGAGAACTTCATAGTGTGTTAGAGCATACTTCAATTTCTTGAAGCTTGCCTCCAAGTCGAGTTAGATTTGTTAATGGGGAAGCTATAGTACTACAATTTTTCACTAACGGACGATAATAGCCTGTCATCCCTAAAAACGATCTGACCTCAGTAACAGTCTGAGGTCTAGGCCAGTCACGTATGCTGGCCACCTTTGCATCTTCTGGCCTCAATCCATCTGCTGAAATTTCATGACCCAAGTACAGGATCTTGGTGCGACCAAACTCGCATTTATCCAAGTTCACCTTGTACTGGTGCTGTCTTAGGAGACCTAGCACTGTTTTCAAGTGCTCAGCGTGCTCCTCTACGGTCCTACTAAAGATGAGAATATCATCGAGGTACACGACGATAAACTTGTCCAAGTAGTCATGAAAAATCCTGCTCATCGCGTGATGGAACGTACCAGGCGCATTGCATAGGCCAAACGGCATCACCACAAACTCGTACAGACCGTACCTGGTCTGAAATGCGGTTTTGTGCTGATCCTCAGGTCGAACGACAATTTGATGGTATCCGGACTTCAAATCCATCTTTGTGAAGTACCGACATCCCTGCACTATATCCAAGAGGCCGTCAATGCGGGGTAGGGGCTCCGCGTTCTTAACAGTGATGGCATTGAGGCCCCTATAGTCAATGCACATCCTTAATGGACCTCCCTTCTTTGGGACAAATAACAYTGGCGCACCGTAAGGGGAGGTACTAGGCCGTATCCATCCCTTCTCTGTGAGCTCCTTGAGCTGGCGGCGAAGCTCATCTAACTCCGCAGGAGACATCCTATAGATTCATCCTCTAGGCACCTTACTACCTAGGACAATCTCTATTGTATGTACAACCTCCCTTTCCACCACGCCTGTGGGCTCCTAAAAAAGGTATGAATATTTTGCGACGACTCTTTCTATCTCTGGGGGTGTTTTAACGGCCTCCCCTTTCTCAGAGACAAAGACTAGATACATGCCCTCCTCTCGATTCTGCTTAAAGTAGTTATAGAAGGATGAAGCGCACATACACCCGTAGTTCTCTATTAGACTGCTAGCTTTATACTTTTGCAATCTAACAGTTTTACCATTGGGCAATTTGTGGATCAACACCTTTCTATCCTAGTCAAACTGAGGTTGCGAGACTTCGAGGTAGTACATGCCTAGTAGCATATCGAATGGCAGTTCGTCGCTCACCAGGAAAGAGATTTTATGGATCACTTCCCCTCCTCCATAGGAGAAGGTGCAGGCTACATCCTTGACATAGTCCTTTACAACCATTTGGTGCTTGTTGGCTAGCGTAGAAGCTACAGTTCTGCTAAGCCGCTACACTTGGTCCCCTACGCGCAGTCTATCCACACAAGCGCGACTGGTGAAATTTCATGTAGAGCCTATGTCTGCGGAGGCGCCAACCTTGCGGCCACCTACATCTACTTCTACCACGAAATGTTCACCCTTTGGACCTCTACTGATCATCGCCCAAGGGTCCCTGGGGTCCTTCCCTGACCACTCAGTCTCTAACTCTTCTAGGGCCTCAGACACATCTCTCGAACAGAGCGTCGGTGGGTCTGAATGTGTCTGCGGGGCGATGTATGGGTCACTAGCCTTGGCCAACGCCTGAAGTGGGGAAGGCAACGTTACCACTTCACCGCGAGTAAGAACGGCTAACAGTCCTACTGGCCCGAGGTGTTTCCCTGTGAGCTGCTCGCAGAAGCACTCCCAGGGTTCGAAGATAAACCCACCACCGTTGGTGAGGCTACCTTCGTGGTGACCTTCTTGCCGCGACAAGTCCTGGACGTGTGGCCATAGTTGCCACAGTTCATGCATGTGCCCCTGGCAACTCGGTCCCTCCACACCTCGTAATCCAAACCAAGCTTCACCCATGCTGGTGTCCCTTGGTCTCCCTGACCCGTGGGCCGTCCTACCTTCTTCTTCCCGGTCCCCCTAGCCTTTTCCTTGATGGGCGCCACGACTCCCCCATCCGAAGTCTCGCTGGCCACATCCTTTTCTGTCAACTCCCCAAGGTCTGGGAATTCGTCAATCTCCGTCGTTTGACCATCATGGTCAACGAACATTAACTGACCCTTCTTCTTCCAGTCTTGGGGCAGTCTCTTCCTACCATCATGAGATACCTTATGAGCAGACCCCAACTTTACCTCTATGTCCAGAGCTTTCTTACTAAAAGAAGCGAAGGTGTGTTGTTCGACATAGGCCTCGTCAACCAGCTTGGTCCTTACCTCTGCAGGTAGGCACCTTAGGTAATCCGTCAGGAGAACCTGCTGGTCAAAAGGCACACCCGGTACCACGAGAAGGCGTTCTACGGTGTCTGTAAGCTCTCTCACATCCTTGAACTTGCGGGAACAAAGGTATTTGATAGCATCGGTGGCCTTTTGAGCCCCTTGCGGGTCATGCCACCTGCTGTAGACTGACCGTACGAACTGCTTCAATGTCTGAGTCTGTGACCAGGCATCGAAATCCTGACCGTAGCCCTGTTGCTGCACTAGACTATTCAACCAGCGAGCTGCTGACCCTTCTAGAAAAGAGGCAGCCACAACTACTTCTTGCTCTGGCCTTGTGAGCTTGTGCCTCACATAAGTAGGCACAGTCCTCACCCAGGTGTCCAAGTCCTCCTCCTTCTTTCTATCTCCAGAGAAAGGTTTGGGACTCATCAGAGGTATCTTGGGCATCCACTGCATAGGCTGCATGGGCCCAGGGGCTTGCTGGAGCGGCTGCATTGCCACTGAAACAGGCTGCTGCACACTAACCTGGGCCTGGATTGACAGTGGGACTGTAGTTACCACTGTCGTGGATGGTACGGCTGAGACTCTTTGAACCGGACCACTAGTTGCTGCTAAACCACCTGGAGGGGGCACGCCAAACATAGGAGAGAAGGTTTGCCCTGTGTGTGGCAGCATCGATGATGGACCCGCACCCACAGGGGGAACTACAGCAAACTGTGGCTGCCTCGCTGTTGTGCGAGGAGCCCGAAGTTCAGCCAGGATTTGTTTCTGGCCTGCCACCAAATCAGCCAGCAATTCCTGCTGTACGTTTTGCGCTTCAACCACCGAAAGTAAAGCATTACGCAACGCACGACCAACAGGGTCTAAAGCTGCCTCATCTAGTGCTTCCAGTCTGCCTAACTCCTGCATTCTACTCCCTAGTCTAGCCTTCCTAAGTATGGCTTTTCTTCTCCTCTCTGCTGCATCGTTCAACTACCGTTGTAGCTCATCCTGAAGTTCTTCTGCTTGCCGGATTTCTAAATCCTCCGGCGTGAGTTGAGTTTGCTGGCTGACTCGCATGGCAGCAATCTGACTAGTGGAAACCTGAGAACCACTCTGACTGACTCCTGACGAAGAGGACTGTGTAGAGACTTGCGACATGGCTGAGGTAGCCATGGTTGCGCCGGTACTAGTTGAGACTCTAGTCTGGGCACTATCCTCAACTGCCCTCGCTCTCCCGCTGCCCTCTCTCTAGCCTCTCTCCGCAATCTTCTCTCGTCTCCTGGACCTAACTCCAAGAATGTCAAGGGTCGACTACGAGCAGTCCCGCGAGTTGTCCTATGGTCGTCCACTAGCAACTCCTCCTCACTAGTGCTTGCATCACTCATGAGCTACAGTGTGTGTGATCTAAAACTAGAATCCACACTGAATCCTACCTTAGCCTGACACACAACCGATTATGAACTACAACTAATTTCGGTCGGATGGAACAGAAACAATTAGGTGATATATTAACAACTAATATCAGGTCCTACAGGATATATTAATTCTATTTTTAGATAACCCTAGAACAGATTACACTACAGCTACAAGATCTATTAATTATATTTTTAGATTACCCTGGAACAGATTACACTACAACAAAGATCTAATATGTCTGTAGCTGTCTGTCAGTTGTTAGCTAACTCTGTCACAACTAGATAATCAAAATAAAAATAACATCTCTTGTTGGAGATGTATACTGGATGGCAGATTGATAATTACTTGCCACTGTGAACAGTTACCGGAATCCCCCCTCCCCCTATATCCTTCTTGATTGGTCACTTTGTGTCAACGTTCCTGAGCATCTGGTTGAGCAGTGTGTCTGAAGGTGTGCAATCCGGCCCACCCCTGTGCCCCAAGTCATTGCCGAACAAGCCAGCCAGTCCACTCTTATTCGTACGGAACGAGCCTTACACCCGGTTAATCTGGCTGATCAAGAGGAATTTTAGGAGAGCCCCCATCTCCTCAGGAATTATTTAACATCGCAGTCAGGACAACGATCACAGCCAGATTCAATTTAGTCCCCAACCAAAAATGTTTATAGAAATCAAGGGCGGAGCGATCCTATCTATGGTTGATTGGGTGGTAGCGTAGTAGGTAGGGTTAGAATGGGAAGGTTTGCACGGGTAGATTGATGATGTTGATGCTGATGCTGATGCTGCTGCTGCTGCTGCTGCTGATGATGATGATGATGATGATTATTGGTGATGATGGGGGGGGGAAGAGTTGGGGAAGTTG